AAGATGAGAAAAATTGTGGGTTTGACACCTAAGCAAATTTGTTCTAAAATGCTTCTCCATTAATATATAGAAGATATATACTAGCTGTTACTACTATACAGTATTTTAAATTTTTTTTTTTTTTTGGCCAAGTAGATATTAAATCTATACAGTTCCTGTAAAAGAAAACCTCAATTCAAAACTTATGTGCGTTCAACTCACGATACTGACTAATCTGTTTGGGAATTTTTTTTTTGGTCACATCTGTTTGGGAAATTTATATGACTTTAATTTGGTTTTGAAATGAGTGTATCATGTAATATGACCCAATCTCTGAATTTTTTTTGTTTTTGTTTTGGCTTAACATTAAATCCATAGTTAAAATTGTAGGTTTCGTAATATAATTCTACAGTTATTTTTGGCATATGAAGATATAGCGTAGACGCCGTTTAGACGGACTCCTAACCTTTTAGAATCTGAAGACCAAAATGGTGTTTTAGGGAAACCACTCAAATAGTTTCATGGGCCATCTTGGTAACATTCAAAGGTCATCATGTGGGCCCATAGATGAGAATCAAGAGAATGGTAAAGCTGTAATTATCATGTGAGAACAAGGGTAAAGCTGACTATGAGGCGAAAAGGAAAGAAAAAGACCGAAAAGGACAAGAAAAGTGGACCATCTCGAACCAGAGGACAAAACGTTACATCCATGAAGGTTACTAAGCGGCCATGAATGGACCCCGTCAATTATTTTCGTATTCTTTTCTTTGTAACGGAACTCCATCTATTTTTTCTTTTCTTTTTTGAAAAATTCTTTATCTTTTTTCTTTTTGCAAATCTATAAGATTGTTTTGTATTCATGAATCATTGAGTCCTAAGAGTTTTTCTTTATAATTCGTTATTGTTTTGTGTTCATGGATCAAAGAGTATATGGTTGTCTTCCTCATCATAGCATCCGATATATATCTATTCGCTTCCTAAAACATTCCAAAATCCGTCGGTCCGAAATTTTGATATAGGTAAAAACTTGATATGGCCTACTCCATTGGTTGGCTCGGAATATGAATTTGTTACATATGGATGATTATAATATTATTGACTAGAAGCCATCTGCAATTGTTTTTGAGAAAATATGGTTTCAAAATATCTAATAGCACCAAGTGGTCGGTGGTTTAGTGGTTTTAGATTTGAAAAAAAGTTTTCAAAATCACTAGTTCAATTTCACTTGACAGAGGTGATTTACGCTTTAAATGTAGTATAATCAACGACTGGCCCGAAAATTGATGAAATTATAGATCAAAGATCCGAAACTCCAACGGTTAATAAAATATAGATATATATATATCTGATGGTGGCTTGTCTATATTTTTAAAATAAATTGTCCTCTTTTGCTTATAAACCACAAAATTATCTATAAGAATTCGTGTATTGGTTTTCCAAAAGAATGAATCTAGATTATTAAAAAATAAAATACGTTAGAAAATTCCAATGTAAAATATTTTCCAAAGTAAATATGTAGCCTCATAATGAACTTTCTCAAAAACAAAAATGTAGTCTCATCATAGGATTTACATTTACATTTTTTTTTAATATAGAAACAAGTCTTTGAGTTTG